ATAATGGACCGTTATATTTCTGAATATAATTGGTTTCGATCAGAAGGGAAATGTGAAATTTATTTTCCTGTGAGAAACACAGATTTCATCAGTAAGTTTCCTCAATATGACAAAGGCAAAGCAGACGATGAAAGAAAACACTGCGCCTTACTACGCCGTAAACCCCGAGCACGGCTGGAATATTCAGAGTTCATTCTTCACGTGACATGATCAAAACAAACGCATGCAACTAGATATTTCGTCTCGAAATGGTCACTCAGGATTTGTCATTTCGGTGGTACAGAAACCATCTGCCACCCCATCAGGAGTCAACGCCTAGCAGCATATTTGAACTGTGAATCGTTGCGCTTTGTCTATCGTGGTACCCGAAATAACTATCCAACTAGAGTGGCATTGGTTATCCTCAGGTTTAGTTCATGGACAAAAACTTCAGGTGACCTCATTGTTTTATTACTACGGCAGCTGTTATTCCCCTGTCAACAATGATTTATGAAGTGAGTAACCATGGATATGTGGAACATTTCTGCCTAACGTTTGCTTATAATCGTGTACATTGTTCCAGGTGTGCGTATTTGCCGGAAGACTGAATGAAACTCGCAAACCTGGTGGTGGTGGACTTCGAAGTAAATGCATTTGGACAGGGCTATGGCCTTTTTTCATTTATTCACCACCTAAACACTGAACAACCAAGAAGCGAGGACTATCGTTCATTTATTAGAATGGAAAACTAAGTTGCACTGACATGGGCTGATATCTCGATGTCAAAAGAAGTTGAAATCTAAGATATTAAAACCAGTTACACAAATAAATGATGGGAATTAGCAACAGAATAACACACATAACATCATATTGGTATACCTTGTTTGTTGAATGTCCGTACATGAATGAGGAAAACCAGGAATTCCAGTTTTTAGTCCTAATATAAGCGTATTTTTAGGGAGTAGAGTATTGACAAGATCATGTGAACAGGGACTATCTTGGTCATATTGCATCCGGTCTGCAGCAGTTCATCAAATGCAATTGTTGTCATCAGACTAATACATTCGATTTTTGGAGCTAAACAATTTATGATTGAATTTCACTACCATTTTGAGCGTACATTTCCTAATTATCTACAAGAAACAAATTGTGACTAAATGATATGTAATCAAAAGTTCTGTGTAAATAATAGGGAAAATTAGCACAGCTTCCTATACATTCGTGAGGTCTATTTTTAGCTGGTTTTGTAAAGAAAACAACAGCCATGACAAATTAAGATTGTGTGCTAATTGGATCTTTTTTACTGGTATGCCTCAAGAGAACTGAGGATACGAACGAATGAAAATAATATTGAGTGGTGAATCATGGAATAGCTTCTGTTTAATAAAAGCTCGTTTCAACTGTAGTCAAATGAATATTCCATCTCCTTCATTGTCGGTGGTGGACGAAAAGTTTGATTTCGTTGCTCTCTGATACTTTTAATTCTGCGTAAATGGTGACTGGTTGATTCACTGTAAGATTTGCGATCTGTCGATCTGAACAGTTTTATTTGTGGAATTCTTGTCAAAGCCAAGTAACAAAAAGTCATGTTAACCATTATTCAGAAGTGATGCTTTTTCACAAACTCCAGCAAATGCAACGAAATATTTTGGAGAGCGCTCTGATATTTTCGACCAATAACTCAGTATCCCGATTCGCAATGAAATAGTTTTCAAACATCCTATTGAGTTTGCAGTCAATCTTTAAACTATGATGGTGAGTATACATGTTTGTAGTTGCAGTCCAAAGTACTATTCTTCCTAGCCTCTTCCATTTATTTCTATCCGATAGAGAAACAAGCGCTGATAATTTGATTATTTTATTATCCAACGGGAAACATATGGCCTGCTAAGTATGACGGAAGAACAATTCCTTTAGACAGCTGTACGCTAATTCCAACCAACTAAAGATACTTAAACACGAATGGTGCTTGGAGAAATAGCAAATGTGCTCCAACAGATCAACCCAGAAAACTACGGATGATCTCCGAGTAAGGGGAATTGAGAAAAACGTAGCATTTTCATGTTTATCTTCTCAGTGTAGTCGTTCACTAATAACCAGCATGAAATTTCATACCAACGACTGTGGATTATTATTTTTGGCAATTCCAAAGAAAAATAGTAAATATTATTGGTAAACTTCTCGGCTTCAGAAAAAGGCAACGCAAATAACCGGGAAACAAAAGTAAATCGATCACTACTTTAAATTGGTGAATGATAACCCAATGTAATTTGTTTGAAATGAAAATGTACATAAAACCTAATATCTATGTTTGAAAACAATAGACAGCAGAGCAGCTACTAGATTGAATGTCTAAAAACAGATTTGTTGTTCGTGTCGTCCATGCTTTTTGGTTCTACCGTTGTCGGCTTCCTGGCTGAAGGTGCTGCATCGAGTGCAGCTAAATTTATTACAGTTGTTCGAATCGGAACAGAACTTACCATATTATTAGAGCATTTCAACCACAAGTACAGATCGCGTGCCCATCGGTTCCCACCGGAAATGAGTTTTCAACGTCAGTTATATTTATTTTATCCTAATTAAATAAGTCCCGGAATGGGGGTGAAATCTCGATTCCTTCTTCACCATCGGTAATTCGCATGCATATTTCCACGAAGATTTTTATTCAACCGATGAATAATTGGCATGTCGGCCATGCCATAAACGGAGATATATTGCTTCATCTTGTTTTCAAACGTTATTCTTACTCAAACGACGGAATGGATTCAACAAGTATTTTTTGAGAACTATGATTTAATCGGAGACCATCAAACACACATTTGTCTGAGATTTTCTGGAATGAGTATTCCAAAGTATCCACTGGCCCTATAGCGATGACACGGTTTCCAATAATAAAACGAGAGCAAATCGCACGACAGCTATTTGTTCATAGAATTTCTTTCATAAAACACGACTAATAAGTGCAAGAGAAATTTCGCCGTATTCAATTCGCAAAAATAGTTCACATGGAATAATTGGAGAACGCTTGCTATAGACACAGATGGTTCTTCACGTCCTTGTTTTCAAGGAATTGTATGCGATGCTCATGTCTAGGTTCCTTCAGGTAGTGAAAATCGTCCCAAATTCTAGTCCAAAGGCAACACCGTGACTTGTTCATCAAACCTACAACAATACGAGGTGAACAAGTTGAAAATAACCGTATTCATGGGGGAGAATTGTAACGATGTATGCGGATGTTCCAGGTGCTCATTTGTAAGTGTGTAATTATTGAAGGACAGCAATGCATATACTATGCGACTGCCTCTGACTGAAAAGAAAGGGGTCAAATATTTTATAGAAATGAGAAAATACTCAGTAGGATTTTATAATTCAACTTTGAACAACAACTACACGTCTCGTAGTCACTCACCGTAATGCACAGCCAGCGGTTGTATGTTTGGTTATCTTTGTCAAACATCCCACTTTTTGGTCGAAATGTGCTTGAAGTTTGTCGTGGCCCAATATGTCGGTGCGAAACAGCTCATGCTGAATTTCAGATTTCCATCCTAATAAGCGACCGACCTGACAAACATGCGCGTAAGTGCTGTTTATTGTGTTAACTTCCATGAACGTTTCTTCTGGTGTATAGATTATTGTAGAATAAGACATTGTGGCATTGTTTGCTTGGACAGTATCGATTGAGAATCCATCAAGTGTCGAAACCTTTTCGCCGTAACTCCACTTTCTGACAAATGAATTAAAACCTGGACGCAGCAGGCTGTGTATATTCACCCACAAATGCTGTGAGCAATTACAATGCTCAAATATATTTTTATAGTTTTCTCCGATCATGTATCCAATCCGGCCTTTGCTTCGACCCCAGTTGAAACACCTTTGGTGTGCCTCACAATATGTTACATGCGCTGACATAAACACAACGTCTGACTCCCCCGTGATTTGATGGAGCCATACACTTTGAAATGCCAGTAATATAATCTGCATCAGTATTACCATAGTTATTGTCAGGTTCGTCAGTGAAAAAGATAATAAGACTTGGATTACAAAGAATAGGTAGACATAAAGAATGATGCCATTTGCATAGTCATTAGCCTCGTTTTCATGGTGCCTCTTTTACAATTCCAGAGCGTGTTTATTGGTTATCCTGAGAAACACAAAGTGCAGCCATTGCATCAAAAAGCAATTGGGGAATTCATGTCCATTGATTGTGATTGGTCGAGTCTGACAAGAGACACATTTACTTCTATGCAGTTCTGTGTGAGCTGAGTCGACCAATACGTTTTTCTTTTCAAAATATGCTCACCTAAATAATCCAAACAGATTGAAAAGCCGGTACAAGAAAGGCTGTGTTTTGTTGACAAGTGCATAGATATAATTATCCTCATTTACTGTGCTTAGCATGTGGACGTTCCTTTTAGAACTGACATGTGAAAATAAAATTGGGAGATGGTAATTCCGAGTTATTGATCATTATTTCCGGCACGGAATTAAACAGACGAGTTTTGTGAATGTCATTTTCTCTAAGTAAGTAGCACGTCGGGATGCAGTGACATTTTACCTTTACTTCGTTGTTTTTCGCCCTGCGCTTCTGTGGTGATTGAAAACTTGATAAAGTTCCCATCGATCATAGAGATTGGAACAGAAAAGAATATTGCACATTGGCTTTAAAAACCCCATACATATTCATGATTAAGTAGCCAATTTATGCGGGAACAAAATTTTCAGGGAAAGTACGACTATTTTCATGATAAGTGCTGGCCATTAGGGCATGTCTAACCGGTGCTGCTGCCAACTGTACGTTTCATTTGAATACTGCTTACATGTTACTTTCAAATAAGAGCTAACAAATGTTGGTGATAGGATTTTCGACCAATCTTCCTTTCGAAAGATTCTGCCACGAAAGCATGTTAATCTTCGAAAGACGCCTCTGAACCAACAAGGATTTTGCTGTGAATAAAATATTTAAAATATCAACTTCTTTCGAAGACAGATCTTATTTTGACGTATATATTATATTTTTTTCTATGCAACATAAAACCCAAAACATCGTGACAGTACTTCATATCAAGTTCTGTAGTGCACTGAAAATACTCCTCGAAGCACTGATGGATATGCACTCTAGATCAACTGTATCGATCCACATGTACCTAAACTGGTGAGTTCATTCATGAAAGATTCCATTGACGGTTTGTAGTTTCGCCATAGCTGGTCACCTTTCCGGTTGCGCTGTTGATGCGTGTGAATGTACTCGCGGGATAGTCCTCACTAAACTTCCTTGTGAGCAAAATTGGAACATTTACTAGAATGCTTTTTTCCATGTTGAAGTTGGTGTACTTACAGTAATAAATGTGTTCATATATCCGATCATATTCACATATTTTACTACCATGGAATAACTGTGGGAACTAAGGTACAAGAGCGAATGTGATTACAAACATGAAGCCATCATATTCCTACGCTTGAACCTGTTCATGCCCTCTATTGCAATCGAGATCCCACATATGCTACAGTTTCTAACTAGTACAATGGAATTACAGTAGATGGAAACACAAGCTTTGCTATAACTATTGGTATCGAAAGGTTATCATCTTCGTAATGCTCAAAGACGCCCACTCCTCGTGTGAAATACACAGTTTGATGATAGACAGTAATCTACGATCGTCCAGCTCAATAAACCTCCCGAAGTGGTCAGGAATGGAAATGAATTTTCACTATAAATTTCGAGGTCTGTTTGTCGGTATGGGTTGCAGTGGAATAGGCTTTTATGGCTACGGGGCATTCTCGCGCGATAATCCTCTTGCGTACCCATATATTATAGCAAACGCTTTTTCGAACTATTTGTTATCCAGGATTGGAACATCAAAGCACTGTGGTAGTTGGCGGTAGAATCGTGGGGCATGTTCTAGTTTTGATATTATGTGCCGCAAATAACACTGAACGAGATATAAGTTACGAACAAAACACTACGTAAAGCAGGAAATTTGATCTTTAGTAATACCGTATGTCAAAATGTTGTATAATCGCATACATGAATAGCATTTCTGAGAAGGATTCCAGTTACTTGAAGTCTGAATAATTGCCTGAAATGAAAATGAACATCCACTCAGTTTGGCCCGCAAATGTTTGCGATAGAATTTCGTGATAAAAACACAAATTATAGGGGTTCGTTGACAAGTGCTTTTGATATCTGCAGCAACTCTTCCGGTTGCATGATTTCAAGACGCACCAGTAACCAATTTCTAAAATATAAATGTTGGTTTCAACTGAACTGAAAATTGGTATAAGAACTGCTCACTATTTGGATTTGGGTTTTTTTCAATGGTTCAACTCTACTGTGCTAAAGCGCTCCGGTGTGATTCCGTATGAGGTTGTTGCCTTCAGAAGCTGCTATTAAATTGTGTTCATGTACTTGAGGGTGTTATCCGTGGGTCAATGCCCGTCAAACGAACGATCATGCATGATCACGTGCATCCCTTAAACAACATTTATTGTTTCACTGTAATTTCACCCAATATTCTGCTTTGGATGTCACGGTATTTGTTCTCTCGGATAGATTGTGCGAATTCCGCTTGGTTGTGATTCTCCTGCTGACACGATTACAGTTATTACCTCCAATATACTAAAAACTCATCGTTGTTATCTACAGCTTGCGATGGAGAATGCCTTCATAAAATTGGACTGTGTTTCTAATTAGTCACGGTAGCGTACGATAAGTGAATGCGTTTACGAGGCGTGTTTCACGTGTCCCAAAACGAACTAAATGGGATATATGGTGTTCATAGTGAACTTCGAAAACTAGCTCCGATGTAACAAAATGTCGCGACTTGATTTGAAATACGTTGAGTCCTAACCACTGGAAAATACCAGTATAGTTACAACTTGACCGTCAAATCTGTGTTTTGCACTTTCAAAACTGACCGAGGTGCTCCAAGAGAATCAATAGGGCCGTCAGCGGAATACATACTGAAACTGACGCAGACAACTGTCGACAAGATGATAGGTTGATCTTTATAGATGAAAAGAATATTCCGCTGATCTCCTCACTTAAGAAGTCAACTTACTTAGTGGACACATCTGAAACCACATAGAAATATTTTATTGCATCATATATTAACAACCCTGGGAAGGTGAGAAAAACGAAACTTTATTGCACCTCTGGGTTATTTTCAGTGACTTCAAAAGCCATCCGGAATGTACTTCATCCAAGTGAAGTGACCAACAAATTTATTTTGTAGGCTTTCAGATTCCGTTTGCTCACGGAAACCATCACATTTGAAAAGCACTATTTGCAACAAGGAAGCTTCAACCGTCATCACACTAGTGTGGATACGAATGCGAAAAGAACAAACCGCAATATTATCGTGCCCATTTATTGATTCGTTGATCTGCTCCGATGTGGATGCCTATTCATGCAAGCAAGTCGAACGAAATGGTCATCACGAAATAGTTTGGGGTCGAATAATACAAAGTCGGTTTAATTCTAAAACCGGCTGATTTAATTCCACGGTGGTGAATTAGCTGCTGTAGGTTTTATAGGCTACTGAGGAGACCGGGTACTCTTGTTGAATTATCTCCGTTCACAAAGAAAGAAATGTGGGCATGAGTAACTGATGACTACAGTGGTATTCGCTAGTAGAAACTCGTATCCGGCCACAGGATGACCGCCCAACTTCTTCGAGAATATAGGTTGTGGTAATTCTACCAGTTTCCACGTGGCCAAAGTTTATAAACAGAACATTTTGGGTAACTGTGTAGCTTGTTGCACGAAACGCATCGGGCTGTTATATCGTAATTAAAATGTACAAGTGTGAGATACAGTTTAAGCACGAATGATTTGAAACAAGGGTACAATTAGGTGGATTGAACAAATAATCCTTCGTAGAATGTCGGCTACAAAGAACCAGAGTTCAATGGAATTACCGGCACACTAGCATTCTTCATTGTAAAACACCACACCTCTGATGACGGCAGCATGACGTTGCAAGTGTGATGTGCAGCTTACCTGATAAGGTTTTCAGGAGGGCTGAATTCATCAAGCATTTGACCACTGGCTTATTTGGATCAGCTCTGCCCTGGAGGGCACGACTGACTGCGTAAATAACACTGGTTTATCCCGGAAAAAAGAACCTTACCAAGTACTGAGTGATGAAGACGCATAACAGCTTACAATGCAAAAAAGCAGGACATTCATACAAAGAGCAACGGCGGAATGAAAACTGTTTGTACTCTGTGTACACAGCAAGGTATTTCTCTGTCGCCTCACCCACTATTTTGTTCTTCATACATCTTCCTGTTCACACCCAACGAGGACTATTATGGTTAGTACCAGGATGATTACCATCAGTGTGAATTCTGGTCGAATATGCTTTAGTCAGAACTGGACTATTTTCCAAATTTCACCGAACCGATTACAACCGACCGATTGCCACCATCGCCTGGGATGTGTTTTAAAACTAGACATTCACCAAAAACTCACCCGGCAGAATGGCTTCCGGTTTAGCTATTTTTAGCAGCTTCTAGGTGGAAGAGGGACAATTGTTTTTAGACCGGACGGAAATGGGCAGACATTCACGTGCACTGAATCATGCTTTTAGTGCGAACAGGATAGCTACAAACCCGACGGAAGAATTTTCATCGTTTTGCCCTGCCCACTTACTGATCAGAGCCTAGATGCAATCACAGGGATGCTTTTGCTGAAAGTCACACAAACTGCTCACATCTAGATTTTAGCTTGGATATGAGACGCATATAGGACACTCATCTACACTGAGAAAGCCTTGGGCGGTTTAAGTACATGTACTCTGAATATCACCTGATCCTGGCTAGTACAAAATGAAATGGGCGTGCAAAATCACATACTGCAACAACGGATAGGTTACGATAGGTCTTCCGATTACTCTCCGCTGGGAAACTAGAAGTAGCCCTACTTGATGAAAGTAGCTCGCACTCTTAGCTACACTCAGAGCACAGTTGTCCAAACTGTATGAATTCTTCTTTGTATTTTCCTTACACACCTGACTTGAGGCTGTGTGTCAAACAGAACGTGGTACAATCGGGTAGGAAGGAGTAGATGGTCGTATTTCATATTCGTTCCTGGGCATAGTACTGCCAGGCTGCACAAGCTCGAGCACGTGGTTTCCTCAGGAGTCGACACCCCAACGCTTCAGTTATCCGATGCCCAACCCTCTAAGCTTTGGGACAGAAAGTAGGTTCATTACTCAGTGAAGACCTGTGACTGATTACTCAGTTCATAAGACTTCTGAATGAAGTAAGACATCCTGTGTGCCCAGATCACTCATCCGCCATAAATGTGGGTGAGCAGAAATTTGTTTGCCCCATAAGAAATCCATAGTTACTTTGCAATTAGTGATTAACCTTCTACCCTAGACCTACCGTTAGTCAGGAAACTTCGTGGGGAGCGCCGTGCATTCAACTTTATCCCCGACTTTGGTGAGAACAATTCCGTTACGAGAATGTAGTGAGTGGGACTTTCTAAGCAGAGGCTGTGGTGAATGCACGGTCCTTTGGGAGAGCTTCAAGAGACATTCAGGAAACGTAATCCCTGACTCTGAGACCAGCACACTCAACCATACTGTGGCATTCCGTGACTGCCCAGCCTGAGATATATATGGTGCCAATTGAAGAACGGGCGTACGTCGCTGCGGTTCCAAGGGTCTCACCTTATTGTTCTGAAACTGGGCCACACCAAATATGATTTGTAAGATATGGTGAGGGATATGGCTCATACTAGGAATCAGTATTGCGAATGCTTCAATCGTCCTAGTGGAAATTTGGTGTCCCATGCATTCGAACCACACTTCAGACAACAGAAATGATAAAAACAATGAGTGCAACTTGAAACGAAAAGCCCATTTCATGGTATGGCCACTACCAAAGTGTCTCATACTTTGATTTACTTGTCCTTATTTGTTGCCTTGTAACAATGCATGATTTCACACGAGGATATATAAAACGTCAACTTGAACGGATTTCGGGAATTAAAACGCCAAATAGTGGTCAAACGTACGAACTGTGAACAATCAACCTGTTCCGACAATACACTGATTCGTTATTCTCTTGTTTGGCCGAATTCCTCCAGGTAGTGACTCGTATGAACGATGAATGAATGTCTTCAGGAAAAGGATTACGCATTTTCCTCGTTTAAACCCAAGTGGCTCGCAGACAGACAACTCTTTGGAACATTGAATAAAATGAACGACTGGTGTTCAGGAAACGTAAAAATGGTAGCGTTATAAGCAAATTTCGAGTGGAGAATGATTGCACTTGTTCCGTAGGTTATCAA